GCGGGTGAGCAGAGCTGGGGGGCGGGAGACGGGCTGTGTGACATGCGGGGTGTGCTGGGCCTTGCGGGGACTCTGGGGGTGGGGAAGGGCGCTCCCCACGGTGTGCATGGGAGTGAGGGGACACAGACAGACCCTGGCCTCAGGGGTCGTCCCAGAGGGTCCCCGTGTGTGACATTTAGACACTCTTCCACACAGACACACAAAGACACATATACACACAAATATACACAGACACACACATGTTCAGACACCCAGGCACACAGACACACCCAGACACACAAAGACACATACACACATAAAGACACACAGAAGCACACAGACACACACAGACATTTAGACACTCATCCACACAGACACACAAAGACACGTATACACACAAATATACACAGACACAGACATGTTCAGACACCCAGACACGCAAAGACACATACACACATAAAGACACTCAGAAACACACAGATGTACACAGACACACAGACATTTAGACACTCTTGCACACAGACACACAAAGACACATATACACACAAATATACACAGACATACACACGTTCAGACACCCAGGCACACAGACACACCCAGACACACAAAGACACATACACGCATAAAGACACACAGATACACACAGACACACAGACATTTAGACATTCATTCACACAGACACACAGACACAAATGCACAAATATACACAGACACACACACGTTCAGACACACCGACACACACAGACACATAAAGGCACATAGATATACACAGACACATGAACACACACAGACACTCATACACACAGACACGCATGATCATACAAAGACACACAAAGGCCACGTGGGGTGGGGTGCGTAGACCCTGGGGGCGGCTGGAGCGTGTCGTCTTCCTGTCCCCTCCGGCAGGATGGACCCCTTCGAGGACACACTGCGGCGGCTGCGGGAAGCCTTTGGCGCGGGGCGTACGCGGCCGGCCGAGTTCCGGGCTGCACAGCTCAGGGGTCTGGGCCGTTTCCTCCAGGACAACACGCAGCTTCTTCAGGACGCGCTGGCCCAGGACCTGCACAAGGTGGGCCGGGGGGACCGGCCGGGGGGACCGGCCGG